TGCACTTCCTCCCTCCCTCCCCCCTCCATCCCTTCCCCTCCCCCTCTCCAAAAAAAAAAAAAGTATACATGTACACAGACACATTTGTATTTTCAGAATCATTCAGTATGGATCCAGAGGTAGATACTCGCCTTGCCATATGCTTGGGGCTTAATAGTGAAAAACTGTCCCCAGGAATTAAAAGGAAACTATCTGTTAGTTTAAGAACATACAATATTAATCACAATAAAGTTTAACTATTGAATAGAAATCTGCTTTTCTGACTCAGGAGTGAGCATGAATATCAACTATCTACATGTGGTATATAATTCATACCCAGAGTGAAACCTGAAGGATGAATTGACTCTGGAAGGTCTCCTGAATCCTGCCTCTGGCATTATTCATTTGCAGCAGGCTGAATTGCATTTTATGGCGGCTGTTTTCTCTCATTTATCCCTTTGAGAGGAAGCAGTAACTAAATATATTAAACACTGCTTAAGAGTCCTCAGCACTGAGCATTTTAATTCTATCAGGGGTGTATCAGCATATGATTGAAAAAGAATGGAGACATATTAGTTCGCCCAGTGGTTAGTTCACGTGATGGACCTATGTGTTCTGGAGGGCACTTTAATAATATCGATAAAAGAAAGCAAATTGTCCAATTAAGAAGTACTCAGAATCAGTGTAGAAAAGGGGCGTCTGGGTGGCTCAGTCAGTCGAGTGTCTGAATTCGGCTCACTGTTTGTGAGTTCAAGCCTCGTGTTAGACTCTGTGGTGACAGCTCAGAGCCTGGAGCTGCTTCAGATTCTGTGTCTCCCTCTGTCTCTGCCCTGCCCCCGCTCACACTCTGTCTCTCTCTGTCTTTTTCAAAATTAAATAAACATTAAAAAAGAAGCATCAGTGTAGAAAAGTTGGCTAAGCTGGATTTTTCAAATAATAGAGTTTTCTTCCCATCTGGACAGAGCTGTGCTAGGCTATTCGGTCAGTCATCATTCATTCGCACAGGGATTCGCAACTACTTCTTGAGTCCTACGTACTAGGCCCTGTTTTAGGTACTGGGCAAAGGCCTTGTTCCTGTGGAGCTTATCTTCTGGAGTACAAGCGGCAAGAAAACTATATATACAAAGAAGTCATTTGGTTCTAGAGGAAAATAATGCCCATCTCTAAGGGGCATGGGAAGGAGTTTAGGTTTCGTGTTGGGCACCACTGTCGCTTTTTACAAGGGACGGCCAGGGAAAGCCTTTCAGTCGGTGACATTTGAGTAGAGGCCTGAAGGGATGGAGCACGTGGATGTCCACTGGAGAAGAGTAAGCCAGGAGGAGAGGGGAGTATGCCTAGTGGGCTGACGGACAGTGCGGGGCCTCTGCAGTTGGAGAAAAGGCAGGGAGGCCACAGTATTCGCAGGTGGGGTCAGAGGGACAGCAGAGACCCACGCCACATAGAGCTCTGCAGACCGTTGTAAGGACACTGGCTTTTCCTCTGAGTGAGGTTCACCGAAAGCCGCTATTCAAGTCTTCCCTTTGGGATTGCCTTGAACATTGGTTGGAAAACGCCTATAGACACAGGGATAGGAACAAAGAAATAGTAAAGGTAGCTAATAAGTGTGTTCAGGTGAGAACCAAAGGGCACAGATACTTGATTTTGTGCACTTATCACTATCTCTTTGCTTGATTGGTGAAGATTACTGTACTTACTCAGATAAGGATGAACACAGTGTTGGCACATTTGAGCCACATTAGTAATACTTTAATAATATGCAAATTAGCAATATGCTGTGGCTATTATAAAGTTCCATTGTTAATGCTCTTTTCTATTTATCCAGTGTCACTGTTCTTCTGAAAGCTCTTCCTCTTCTCTCTCCTGTTTTTATTTAATAATGTACCAATCTTTTTTAAATTAAAACAATTTTTTAATGTTTATTTATTTTTGAGAGAGAGATTGTGAGTGGGAGAAGGGCAGAGAGAGAGAGAGAGAGAGGGAGACACATAATCCAAAGGAGGCTCCAGGCTCGGAGCTGTCAGCACAGAGCCCAGTGCGGGGCTTGAACGCATGAGCTGTGAGATCATGACCTGAGCCGAAGTCGGATGCCCAGCCGAGCCACCCAGGCGCCCCTGTTGTACCATCCTTTAAGCCACTCACACTTGAACTTGTCATCTTGATGTCTTTCTTCATCCTCTGCAACACAGGGTCAGATTCTGCTGTTACCTGCCTATCAAATCCATTTCCTGTTTCTGCCATTCCCAACTTGAGTTTAGACCCTCCTTTCATCTCACAGCTGGCCATCAGATTCTCCTTCTCCATTCCGTGGAAAGGGCAGCAAAATCAATGCAGGTTTTGAAGCAGGATCTTGATTCAGTTCGGACCACCTTTGTTCTTCCCCGTAGCTATTGGGCCTTTTGCAATTTTGGAACCTCAATTGTCCCTCTATCGAATGAGCATAACAATATCTAATTTATAGGATTGCAATGAGGATTAAGTGGGACTGTGGACTGTTCCAAGTGCCTGTCAGGTCAGAGGAATCGATTCTTTCCCCTTGCACTTGGCTCCATCCTTGGGCTGCCGGCGGGGCCCAAAGTCTAGGCTGCATGGTCTTTCTTCTCGCCTCACATGTTAAATATAGGCCCTTCTGCCTGGCATTCAGAGTCCCCGTTCTCTCCCTGCGACTTCCATTTCCAGCTTTTTCCTCATTACTGTTCTTCTCCGTGTATTTCATGTATTAGCAAGTTCACCATTTTTATTCTCACGCTGTTACTTCCATCCAAAAACGTCTTCACTGTGTAATCCTGTCTCACGTTCCACTGCCTTCACAAAGCTAACAGTCTGGAAACGGCTTCTCCAAGTCTTAAAACATCCCTGCACTTGGAGTCAGTGTGGTACCCCAGCTCTGGAGCCGGAAAGCCCAGATGCTGCTGTGTCCTGTCATCCCGGGCACATTGCTTAATTTCTCTCAGTTTCTCCTGCAAAATGGGGACAGTAATACCTCCTTGATAGGGTTGTGGTGAGGATTCAGCAAAGGACTACATGTGAAGCAGTCTTAAATAGTGTCTGACACTTGGAAAGCCTAAATCAGTTTCTATACAATTACAGGCATGAATAACTAACATTGTATCATTAGGACCTGTCTTTTATAGGGAACTCAAAATAAAGGCATTTTGAGATACAGTGGAAAAACAGGCATGGCCTAGGAACCAAAAGACCTGGATTTTGGCTCCCACTACTGACTCCCACTACTAAATGAGCTGTGATGGTCAATATGTCAGCGTAGCCTCTCTGGACGTTACTTTCTTTAGCCGCAGAAAGAGAAGGATGAACAAAAATCACTAAACTTCCTTTCCGTTCAGATAGCCACCTGGGTATCGAATAGCCACCTGCAACTCAAATCTACCAAAACAGAACCCTTCATTTCCACTTTTCAAAACACACGCGTTTCTTCTCTACATGAATGAGACTACCATCTCTCAGGGTCAGAAACCTACGGGCTTGCCTTCGCATTGTCTGTTCCTCTCCTCACCTACATCTAATCCATCTGCGTATCCTTTCACTTCTACTCCCCAAACAGATCTTGGTTCCATCTCCTCCTCCCTCTCTCTGCTGCCACAGCCCTAGTCCAGTAATCTGTACTGTTGCTATAGGTTCCTCCCCTTTCTGCTTCCACTTTTCCCCTCTTGCAGCCTAATTCCCACTGAGCCAAAGCGATATTTAAAACCGCAACCAGACCAGACCACTCTCCTGCCTTAAACTCCCCGGGGGCTTTTCATTGTACTTAGGATGCGATCCAAACTCTGGTACGTCCTCATTCCACTCCCCCTTCTGCTTCAGCTGCTGTTTTATCTTTTCCTGCCAGCTCACCAAACTCACGTCTGCCTTGGGCTTTGCTGTTTTCTCTGCTTAGAATATTCATCCCCCAGGTGTGGACACGAACTGGTTTCTTGTATTTCGATCTTAGCACTAATTGCCCCCCTCTCGGTAGTAGTGCCTTCTCACACCATCGTGTTTTTTCCTGAGGTTTATCGCTACCTGAAAATAGCCTATTTACCTATCTCCTTCCCTTCAGTAGAAATTAAAGGACTTCATAGTAGGGCCTTTTTCCTAGCAGTGCTTAGTACATAGTAAGGATGCAAGACAGTACTTAACTGACTACATGGAGGAATAAATGTAAACCCATTTTTAAAGAGATCTCACAGTTCATGTTAACCTAAAGACTGTGATTTTAAAGTGTGAAGACCTATTACTTTTCCCTTCGTTTAATCCCTCCTACTGAACGAAGACTACTGAGCACACATGCTTGTGCTAGAAATAGGAATGTAAATAAAACAGGTTGGTTCCCCCCTAACCTAAATAGCTCTTACATTAACCATTCTCTCCTATCTCCTCTCCCACACTGCCCTTACTGCAAACTACCGGCTTCTCTGGCCTAGAGGACTGCCTCCCCTCGGGTCGGGTCGTTCTTCTGTATCTAATCTCCCAACCATCTGGACTTCAGACAGCAGCTTTGCAGCGGCTGTCCTACCCTTGCTTGAAAACCGGAGTTTTCATTGTTCTCAGGATAAAGGCCAGAATCCGCCCTGGTCCCCTACGCCTTGTCGGGCCGGCCCTCGCTCTCCACCGCAGCCCACGCTCCCTCCCTCCCCTCCTGCTTCCCGCCAGCCGCCAGGCTGGTACCACTTCCTGGACGGTTCACCACCCTGCACCCATTTTGTCTCTTCGGAACTCCGGAGATTGTCCCTTCCCCAGGGAAGCCCTCCCTGGTTAGGCCAAGCTCCGCTCCCCGTCACACAGCCCCCTATTATCAACGGCGTCTCTTTTCAGATCTCTCGTTTTATAAGCACGCACTCTGGAATATGGGAGCCTCGTAAACTCGCGTAGCCTGGAGCTTGCAGCTCAATAGCTAATTGCGGAAGAAACGTGCTGAAGAGTCGCCCCACCAGTCCTCGCCCCTCCCCCTAGGGCTGCGCGGAGGCTATTACGCACTAAGCAGGCGCCGCCGGGAGAGAAGGCTCGCGGCGCCTGCGCGAAGGGGCACGCATGCGCAAACGAGCGAGCCCGCTGACAGATTCGCGGCGGCAGCGGCGGCGGCGGCCCTGGCCCTGGACTGCGGGGAATGGGAGTCCTAGGTCTCTGAGCGCCGCCCCCGCCTCCCTGCCCCCGACATGGCTCAGGAGAAGATGGAGCTAGACCTGGAGCTGCCTCCGGGTGCTGGCGGGAGCCCGGCGGAGGGCGGCGGCGCCAGCGCCGGCGGGGGCCTCCGGAGGTCTAACAGCGCCCCCCTGATCCACGGCCTCAGTGACACTTCGCCGGTGTTCCAGGCCGAGGCGCCGAGCGCCAGGCGGAATAGCACAACGTTCCCGAACCGCCACGGCCTGCTGCTGCCGGCCTCCCCCGTCCGCATGCACAGCAGCCGCCTGCACCAGATCAAGCAGGAGGAGGGCATGGACTTGATCAACCGAGAGACGGTCCACGAGCGCGAGGTGCAGAACGCAATGCAGATAAGCCACTCCTGGGAGGAAAGTTTCAGCCTGAGTGACAACGACGTGGAGAAGTCCGCCTCCCCGAAGCGCATCGATTTCATTCCGGTGTCACCAGCACCGTCCCCCACCCGCGGGATTGGGAAGCAGTGTTTTTCACCATCCTTGCAAAGTTTTGTGAGTAGCAATGGATTGCCTCCAAGTCCGATTCCCAGCCCAACGACTCGATTTACCACCCGGAGAAGCCAGAGTCCCATCAATTGCATTAGACCAAGTGTTCTTGGACCATTGAAAAGAAAATGTGAAATGGAAACTGAGTATCAGCCAAAGAGATTTTTCCAGGGCATCACCACCATGCTTTCTTCTGACGTTACGCAGCTGTCAGATTCTGGTGTGTGTGTATCTTCTGATGCCCTTGATGGAAACAGCAGCAGCGCGGGATCTTCCTGTAATTCACCAGCGAAAGTCAGCACTACCACCGACTCGCCTGTGTCGCCTGCCCAAGCGGCCTCTCCATTTATTCCAGTAGATGAACTTTCATCTAAGTGATTCCCCCACCCATCCCCGAGAGGGTGGTGGTGTTTGTTGTTGGGTTTTATTTTGTTTTTTTGTTTTTTGTTTTTGATTTTTTTTTTTTTTTGCAACGGAGAGGAAAATCAAGTTGGAGCAAGCACTGAACTTTGTCAATTAATTTGAGGCTATTTCCTATTCGACCCTTTTCCTTTTTTTGGAATTTCCTGCGATGTTGTTATTCTAGAGAACTTTTATGTCAGGTTCCTGCGGATGCCCTTGAATTCAGTGTAGTGATATTTTCAGACGTTTTCCCAATGAGTGTGTTGAAGCATACGTCTTTATGCTGCTAATATGTTTAAATACATATGTTATCCCTTGATTTTTTAAAATAATTGAGAGCTCTATTTATTTATGGGATTATTAAGTTCTGATGCAAATATAAATGTTGAATTAATCAGCATAGTAAACTGATGTTTTAAAATTCCATATTTCATGCCCACACTGATTTTTAATATTATTTGTCAGTGATTGCTAATTTCTATTTGAAGAATAACTTACCTATTTACAGCAGTTTTTAAAAAAAAATGTTAGTTATAACATGTCAGTCCAGTGGTCTCTTTTACCCAGGAATCCTTGAATATTTAATTTTCTGGGTACACATGTGGGGGGGAGGGGGAATGATACAAAGAACCAAATCTAAGAGCTTGCAACAAATCTTTTACAAATTGCATTATAACAGTAAACATTTATGGAAAGCGTTTTCTAATGAAATTTTAATAGAAATTCTAATTACTCATGCAAATATCACTACAGAAAAGTTAAAAAAAAAAAAAAAAAAAAGAGTTTTTTGTTTTAGACCAGAAAGTGCATTCTCCTGGGTATAATCCTGAGGTGAAATGGGCCAGTGCCTTGCAGTCTCAGCCCTGGGTACATAGGCTGAGACCAGGTTCTTTGCACCACTGCAAACTGAAAAGTTTTTCAGACGTAGCTAATGTGGGAAGCCCCATTGGACTTCACCAGGGCCCCCGGGCAGATAAAAGTCTCTCAGTGATTGATATGCTTTAAAATATCCAATTGTGCCTCAGTGAAAATCCTTGCCAACAAGGAGTCAGAGCGACTACTCTTGGCTGCCTTTCTGCTCTGCCCATCTGTCACCTTCCTGGTTTACCCTGGCTCAGGAAGGAAGCAGCTGTTTCCTTGCCAACAGGTCCTTCCTCCCCACCTCCCCACCAAACTAGGCCATCACCAGTTAGACAGAGGTACAGTGTGACTTGGATTTCTGACAGTGAGCAACGACAGAACCATGGAGTTGCTTGACCTCCGTAGTTAAAGTTACAGCTGGAGTTAACCACCTTGGGATTCAGGGTCAGTGACTTGCAAGAGAAAAAGCAGTGGGGAGTCACCTAGGTAAATCATGACTTGACTTAGGTTTTGTTTCAGGTAGAATTCTGAAATGTTCTTTCCTTTGCCTTTTACGACTAAGACAAGCTATGGAAACATTTAGTAACAAATGTTTTTATATTATACTTCCTATATCTTCCTTTACTGGATAGATAGAAAGAAGGGCAGACATAAGGGGAGGGGAGAAAATAAAAGAGAGACCAAGACAAAAAGCCCCGGCTTTCTTTACAGTACCGCGTACAGAGACTTGAACGATCATGTGGAATTTTGACAACTATGAGAATAAATGGACCTGGTAAGCGTTTGAAAGTTGCCTTAAGAATTCCATGAAATTGTGTCGAGGGTAAGATTGTGTCCATAGGCTTAAAATTCTCTGTTCTGGGGATTAGTTCACGTGCTTCAGTCTTGACCTTGTTCCTCACTTTCAAACCTATATATCCAAATTCCTGTGAGGTGCCTGAACCTGCTTCCAGAAGTTCTTTAACCTCAGCATCTCCAAAACAAAATTTATTATCTTCTCATTGAACCTCTTCTTGAATTACCTACATGGGTGTCATCACTCGGCGTTTCTAAACTAGAAACCCTAAGAAGCATTTTTGATTTTCCCTTTTCCCTGTCACATCCAGCTTAATCACTTAAGACCTGTGTCCAGGAATGAATCTTAAACTTCTCTTTTTCTGTTGCCTCTTGACTAAGCTTGTGTTCCAGCCTAAGGTGATCTCTTCACCCGTTTTCTCACCCCCCTTTTGACCCAGTCTTCACACTGCCTCTAGTGATCTTTCTCAACTTGATTTGTTTTCACCTTCCTGCTTGGTAACTTCACATACTTCCCCATTCCCCACAGCTGAGGGAATGCTTTCTGTAGCCTGGCCTGTAAGGTCCTTCATGAAGTGGTCATCCTGGAAAACCGCTGTACAGCTCTGCTTAGCCTGTCCCAGGAAGCATCCGTCTCGCTCTGCAAACACTGGACTACTCGATAGTCTTTAAATATGCCATGTACTTTCATGTGTTGGTGCCTTTGGATGAATTATTCCTTCTCCTTAAAATGCCATTCCTGTCCTTTTCAGCCACGTGAATGCTTTGTTCCTTTTTATTGCATGTTAATGTTAACTATGAAAGAAATGTATACCTGCTGATTATAAAAATATTTAAGCAATGCAGTTACCTACGTAGTAAAAAAAAATGAAAGTCTGCCTTTTACTATGTAAAATTCATCTTCCCTTCTCCTAGGTAATTTCTGTTAATCCAGTATATGTTGTACAAGACGTTTTACTCCTCGTTTCCTTGTATATATGTATATAAATTCAGGAAGTCAACATGTCATTGGCATCTCTCTTACTTTCTTCCCCCTGGCTTCACCAAGTCTTATGGATTTTCTCTTCCCGAATCTGTCACCTTATTTTTTTTCTCTACTGCCACCCTGACCTAGGCTTCCATCATTTCCCTCTTAGACTTCCAAAGGAGCCTCCGAATTCCTACTTGCCCCTGTCGCACTCACTGTCCATTCATTCTCCATACGGAAACTACTGTAATCCTTTTAAAATTGCATATCTGATCCTCCCATCTCCTGGCTTAAAGCTTTTCATTTGCTTCCTTTTGTGTGCATGGTGTACCACAATGTGTTAATTCTGGCCTAGGAGGCCCTAGGGGATCTGACCCTTGCCTCTCCGCTCCCCTTGTTTTCTGTACCCCATTCTCACTGGTATGCTTTCTTTTTGTTAAATACATCATCTTCTCTGCTATTTTATGGTCGTTTAGCCAGATCCTTTTTTCTGAAAGCATAGGGAGACCTTTATTTCTGTAAGATTATTTTTTTGTATAGGTGGTAAATTTTAAATCAGATGAGGCTCTAAGAACTTCTGTAGGCCATTTACATTATCATGTTTTTCTTCATAAGTTCAGTCACTACTTTGTACAATGTAAGGGCTTAGCTCATGTAAGAATTATCCTGCAAGAAACATTTTTAAGGTATTAGGATTGCTAAGCTATAAACTTGGTGCTTGAAGTCCCAAAGCACGTATCAACATTTAGCTAGAGTTCAGTCCTATAGAACAAACTTTTGTGGTATATTTCCCTTTATTATCTTTGTGAAAAATAAATGAAAATGGAAAAAATAATGAATGGTCACCAAAGATGCAGATGCCGGATGTCAGAACCTTTAAGCACACTTAAAAAAGATGGATTGCAATCAAGAATAATCTGTATCAAGTTTCCTTCCACTGATTCACATTTATTCTATTAGTTCAGCTGGTCACACGTACCTACAGCAAGACACCACTCTTAGATGTTTGGCAATAAAGTGGGGAACGTGTCAAGCTTAGGGAAACAGAACTACGAATTTTTTTTTCTTATGGCCATGGTTATAGAGGAGTAGGAAAGTTCGAAGGTCCAAGAGAGAGGTGGGAGACAGAAATAGTTGCCAGAACAACAAACCAAGGAAGACTGTGTAAATTTTATTTCCTGAGTAGCATCAGCGAATAGAAGAAAGAGTTGGCCTGAGAACGGAGGTCTGGAGGCACTTTTTTTCTCTTTGAAAGCAGAAAGAAGAGCAGAAAGGCTAGACAAAGACATCAGCACATGTTGAATTGATTTTGCTGTTGCAGAAGTTTATCGGTGTGGAAGAAAGTATATGAAAAGCAGAAAGGGGTTGTATCTCATTGCTTCTATTTTTCAATTATCAGGTAGTCTAGGATATTCAGGGGTGGGCGGGAGTAGATTCAGAAGCTTGAGCAAAGGAAAGATGTAATGTTGCCTGTGTGAAATTCCAGAAAGCAGTAACTTAAGGTCGAGAGGAAGGTTTATGTTGGATGGCAGGTGCAAAAGAATGGATTGGATTGACCTGGGTTTGAGAATTGGTTAAGCAGATCTAGGTTGAGTCCAGTGTATGAAGCAGTTAAAGATCCTGCTAAAAGTGTAGCTGAATTGCCGGCCAGGGCCTTGAGGATGGGAAGAGAAGTCCGCAGTGGGTGACGGACAGGGCCCCCGTATTCAAGGCCCTCCGGTCAGCCATGGCTGAGTACATAGAGAATCGGACCTTACTGCAGAACTCTGGCTTCAGCTTTGCCCGTACTTTTCAAGACTAATTTTGTTTTGTTAGAGAATCGATCCTAAATGAGCAAGTCTTGAGTTGAACTTATTAAAAAGTGATAATAATAATGTCACATTGCCCAGTGTAGACAAGCCAGTTCTTTATGCCTTCCCTAACTTGCCATCCAAGTAAAAAATTTTCCTAAATGCTAAAATGACTTATATAAGTTGTATATGAGGTACTCACTACGTGTCAGGCAGTGTTCTAGGTACTAAACAAATCTGTTTCATTTACTCCTTACCACCGTCTTCTGAGATAAATGCTATTATCCTCGTTTTACAAAAGAGGAAGTAGAGGCCCAGAGGGGTTAAAAAACATGCTCAGGTTTCTACATGTGGGAGGGAGGCAGCGTGTAGTCGTGGTTAAGAGCACGGACTGTGGAGCCCAGTGGCAGGGGTGAGAATTAAATGGGTCCACGTATCACAGTCGAGCAGTGCTTGGCAGTTTCTGTAGAAGCGTCAGCTGCCACTGTCCCCATGGCTGTGTGGCTGTCCTGGTTGTTACTAGCGAGGATGTGCTAGGGCAGCGTGCCCTAGCCTGGCCAAACCCCTGCGTTCACACTGGTGACAGAACGCTCTCTATCACGGGCAGCCTATGGTTTTATGAGCGGAGTGTTTTCCATGTTGGAGAGGCTTTCTTGAAACCGACATGCTCTTTGTAGCTTTCACCATTCAGTTCAAGGCTGTCTCTCTCAAAAAGGCAGAACAAGCCTTATCTCTCTCTTTTAGGTGATAGCCCTTCCTTTACAGATGAGAAACGCTGATGCTCTGTAATTACCTTCTCTTGCTTCTGGATCTGAGAAATCTTGAGCACTTTTTTTTCAGCATGTTCCCCCTGTGAAACAGGGCTGTCATCCTCTACAGCAAAGATTTTCACAAGATGGTGATCCCTTCAAGATTGCTTGCCTTCCCCAGTGGGAAAGTGGAAGGTGGCCTGATCACATGGGCCATTGCCTATAACAATAATTAATAATAATCAGCACTCATGTTTGTTGAACACTTAATTGAGCCCCGAGACACTATTTCCAGTGCTCTCTACTCTGTAAGTTTCATACGTGAGATGAGAAAACCAAGTACATTTTCTCAAGCCTCTGTTGCTTTTTTGTTCCTTTTGAATTTAGGTCTTCTTTGTCTTTTTCTTACGTACAGAATTTCTCCTTATTTGAGATAAAGCACACTGTCCAGTTTGCTAGTGCGTCACTTCTGTGTTGAATCACATGGTGTGTTTATGTAAAGTGATGGCCTTAGACATTGTTGTCAGATTAGAGGAAGCTCTGAGAATTATTTTCCTTAGTAATAGGTAAAAGTAAATTAGTATAAAAAGAAATGGTTTGCATATTTTTAAACTGGTTTGTTATTTGAAATAAGAAATCCCAAACCACAAATATATTTTATACTATCTTCTTAACGCGCGCGCGCGCGCACACACACACACATTTTCTCTCTCCATATATATGTATATATGCTGTATTATATTTGAGCGATATAGTATCTTTGGTTGTCCTTAGATTATCTTCCTAGGGAAACAAAAACAAGACCATTTGACCCTCCCTCTCCCTCCCCAAAATTGGCCCTGTAAGTTAAAAATGTATATTTTATCCTTTTGTAAATGGAAGTATAATTAACATACAGTGCTATAGTAGTTTCAGGTATACAATATGATTCAGCCAGTCTATACATTAGTGTTCATCAAGATTAGTGTGCTCTTAATCCCCTTCCCCTATCTCATCCATCCCCCACCCACCTCCTTTCTGGCAACCACCAGTTTGTTCTTTGTATTTAAGAATCTGGGTTTTTTTGTTTTTGTTTCCTGCTTTTTGTGTGTTTTGTTTCTTATGTAACATACATGAGTGAAACCATGTGTTACTTTTCTCTGACTTACTTCACTTAGTATTATGCCCTCTAGGTCGGTCCATGTTGCGGATGCAAGATCGCATTCATTTGTGTGGCTGAGTGATGTTCCACTGTGCACACCACATCTTCCTCACCCACGCTTCTGTCCCCACGTGGACACTGGGGTTGTTTCCTTGTCTTGACTTTTGGAAATAATGCTGCAGTAAACATAGGGGTACATACATCCTTTTAAATTAGTGTTTTTGTTTTCTTGGGGTAGAAACAATAGTGGAATTACTGAATTATAATTCTGACTTTAAATGTTTGATGAGTCTCTGTACTGTTTTCTTCAGTGGCCGCCCCAGTTTGCCTTCC